TAATAAAGGAGAATATTTGAAACAAGGGGTTCTTGGTGTTCTCTGAGCTGGGTTGTTTCCTTGCAGATGTTTCATTACCCAACTAGGTTACATCATCAGTGCTAGCAGGGAGCAGGGTTTGCTCTCCAGTTATATACAGTTCAATCCAGTCCAATCCAGTGCAAAGTCCTTTGACTGGATAGAACTGTATATAACCGGAGAGCAAACCTGCTCCCTTCTAACACTGATGATGTAACCTAGTTGGGCAATGAAACGCCTGCAAGAAAACAACCAAGCTCAGAGACCACCAAAGACCCTTTCAACACAGGGAACTTTTTGCTAATTTTGAAAACTGCCTGTTTCAAGACATGGGACCACATCCTTCAACATCAAAAGTCACAAGAAATTAAGTACCAGCTGCGTTTTGATTCTCTGGTTTGAGACAGTGCTTTCTCCCCTGTGCGTTATTTTTCCTTATGTCCAGGTGTACAAAGGTACTTGCCAAATGAAGATCCTTTGTGCAGATAGCTCTGCCCTTGAAAAAAAAATTGAACCCACGTGCTGAAAGAGCCTTTGTTTTCTTGGCAATTTCCAAACCCTGAAAGCATCAAAAGCAAATCGATCAAGAATGAACTTTTTTAGGCCAGAGCTGTGATAATGGAAACCTTTTAGCCTTCTTCTGTTATTTAATATTGTTAAAGGATGAGATGGCAACAACCTTCCTCAGTTACTATGAATTCATTCATGTACAACTGCCAATAACAGTGGAAATGTTGTATTTTGGCATGTGTACCATAAACACTGTAAATATGCCCTATTCATGGTATAGTCCTGTTGCAGAAATCAAATGTGCACATACACTGGAATTCAAAAAAATAAACAAAAATACAATTGCATATGGCTGTCATAATTTTTTGAATACTGTACGGTAACCTAGCCATAATGATATACTAACTATATTTTATCACTCCCTCCCTTACCATAAAACTCTTGCCAAAGATAAGTTAAAGATACAACACAGGTTTATTCATAAATATTGAAAAGTTTGAGCAATTCATTCGATTTTCTGGGTTCCTCTTTAATCTCACTGGGCTTAGCTTTAGCAGATGGTGAAGGTTTATGCCACAGCGATTCACATTATATTCCTACTGTAAAACAATTTTTAAAAAAGGATCCGTTCAGATGATTTCCAAACTACCTTCTGTCTAACTCGGTGGTAATTCACGCATACCGCTCACTTTTCTCGGCAGGTACAAAACTCAACAGCTGTGCCCCTCTTTGTCAAAGGTATTGATTTTCATGAACAAATAACTGCAACACAGCCCACACCAACAATGAACTATATCCAAAAGCGTCCTTGGTTCTAAATCGATTTTCTTTTTGCAGTTGTGGAGCCAGAAAAGGCCGGCGTGTCAAAATGTCTCTCGAACAGCCCTTTCTGACCACGATTGCAAATTATGCCCCTACTTGTAATGCAGCGCAACACAATTGTGCCCAGACACACAAACACACACCTGCCTCTGTTCTTTGACAGATCCTGTCCTCTTCTTCCGCAGCCATTACCGGGACTAACTCCATCAGACAGGGAGGTGGGCTGCCTGCTACACAATCTGCTCCTCCTATGGCAGGGCGGAGCAAGCCAGAAGCGGGAGGAGGAGAAAAAGACAAAAGAGAGAGAAATTACCAAGAGCCACGGCATAGATCAGATTTAACTTGCATGTGATGATGACTCTCTGAACATGCGTAAAATGCCAATTGGTTTTCAGACTCAAATTTCCCTGTGGGGAAAAGAACAAATCTCAGTAATGCAATTTTCTTTTTGAGAAATGCCCCTTCAGGGAAGAAGGGACTGGAGTAAACTCTTTTATCATTTTTTTTTCCTTAAGAGACCATGGCAGGAATGGAGTATGTCTAATTTAGTGAAAAGAAGGACTAGAAGTGATATGGGGGCAGTCTTCCAATACTTGAGGGGCTGCCCCAAAGAGGAGGGTCAACTTATTCTGCAAAGCCCCTGAAGGCAGGACAAGAAGCAAAGGATGGAAACTCATCTAGGAGAGAAGCAACCTAGAACTAAGGTGGAATTTCCTGACCGTGAGAAACAATTAACCCGTGGAACTACTTGACACCAGAAGTTGTGGGCACTCCATTACTGGAGATTTTAAAGAAGAAATTGACAACTATTTTGTCTGAAATGTTACAGGGTTTCCTGCTTGGGGGGTGGGGGTGGGAAAGGGGAGGGCAGGACTAGAAGATCTCCAAAGTCCCTTCCAACTCTGTTATTGTGTTATTATTCTGTTATCCTGGCGATGTTTAAAGAAAGAGTTTTCTGAACTGGAGGGACGATGATTTCTTTTGCTTTGGATGCAGGAATTAAAAAGAAAAGTCATGCAGGGATTAATCCAGAGACAATTTACCACTGGACTCTAAAAATTGAGAAGGAACGAGAGAAACGTCCCTTAATCTTTTAGTTTTATTAATTTTACTCTATTTAATTTGTCCAATGTACAGACCGCCCATCTCCCAAAATGACTCCAGGCAGTTTACAAGTAAATTCAAAAATTGCTCATCCACTTTGGAAGCCAGTGAGATATTGAGAGTTCCCCGAGGTGAGTTTCAAACCATGCCTAACTAAAGCCAAACAGGTTTCTAGTCCTGTTTGAGATATTAGACACCAAGTCTTCACAGTTATTAAATACCAGTCTCTACATTTAGAACTAAAACCAAACTGAAATGGTGGTTGAGGTTACTGAAAGTGGAAGCTTTGCTTTCTACCATGCTCCCATTTACACGTATACTCAAGTTTCTAGTCCTCTTGAGGCAACACTCAAGGGTCACTCAGATTTCTTCTGCTTTCTTTTATCCAGGTCAGCAAGGAAGGGAATATTTATGTCAGGATATCTTATGGGGGGGACGGTTTTATTGCCTTCTAAATCAGCTTAAATTATGACGTCCACAGCCTCTCAGCTTAGAAACGGCTAGTTATTTGAGAGCAGGAAGTGACGTCACAAGTTAGCACATAAATGAGAAAAGACTAGAGACAATTAGAGCGGGAAGTTAAGTCTAGATGTCTCTCTCTCTCTCTCTCTATGGCACCTCGGCTTCGAACCCACCCGGAGAGCGGGGGCAGGACTTGAAAATGGCGCGTTTCCGCCTCGGCCGGAAGTTGCTCTGATGGGGCCCTTCCTTTCTCTATGGCCACCGCCCAAGAGCACTTCCCGCATTTGGAAGCGCCCGGTTCATCGGTCGACTGGGGCATGTAACGGTCGCCGTCGCTATGGAGACGCCCGGGACGAGGTAGCAGCGGGTCACTGCGCCTTGCGGGGATCCGGAGACGACGGTTGGGGGTCGCGGGGTGGGGGAGGAAATCCGACCGATCTTTCCGTTACAGCTCCGTCTCGCTGGCCGCGGCGTGCCGTCGGAGGGGCGTCACGATGCGTCTCCTCTGACGTCACGGCCCTCTGATGTGGGGGTGGGTTTTGACGTCACGGCCCTTTGATGTGAGGGTGGGTTAGAAAATGGAAAGGAGGGGTTGGAAATGTGGGACTACAGTCCCCATCACTCCAGGGGATAATGGAAACTGGGGTCTCAGTGCATCTGGGAGATGCCAGGATCCCGCTAGGACCTGGAATCATGATTTATTCGGGAATCATGATTTATTCAATCAGCCCAACTGAGTTTGCGGGATTAGTGTGAATCCTAATCCGGTTGGCACAGTAGTTGGGGCTAATCATCATCATTGGCCAGCTTGGTAATTCCATGCGCCCTGCAAAATAAACCTCAGCATGGACTCGCCCACCTCAGGAGGACTAGAAACTTAGCTTTTTAAGTTAACTTTGGGCAGCTGGGTAGCCGATGGCCCTGGTGTTTTTCCTGGCCCTTGTGCCAGGAAACTGCCAACGCAAGCCAACATTTCAGTGCTGGCCCCTACACACATCCACCTCACTTGAACAAATGTGCCAATTGTGCAATTTCGCAAATGATTCAAGTGCTGCTCTCCATCAATGGCTTCGAAATAACACTTTCCTCCAAACATTTGTCTTGGAACATTATCTTTTAACGGCCCCATAATCCCTTGCAGGGTGGTCTGGGCAACTGAATGGAGCTGAGTGTTTACTGGCCGGATGTCCTTCCCTGTCGCCAGTGTGGAGTTTTGTTCAGCAGATAGATTCTCATTGTGCCCAGAGAGACACAAATATTTGCCTCTACCTAGGATCGAACTCACAGCCTCCTGATTGTGAGGCGAGAGCTCCACCTCTAAGCATCTAACATCTGTCTTAGATCCTCCAGCCAAATCTCGACTTCATTTTTTTTTTTTTTACAAACATTGAAAATGGATAGTTCTGTCCCAAACAAAGGACCCTGAGGCCTTTCTGATTCCCCCAATTCCTTTCCTTCCTGCTGACTTAGCACACCATGATGGACCGGCACATTTCCATATATATATATTTGCGCAATTCCACTTATATTTTTACTCTCTTTTTTTCTTCATCTATTTTTCCTCTTTTTTATTCATCTAGGGATCTCCTTTCCCAGTCAGAAGAAGCACTGGCCTCTCCTTTGCCAAACGAAAGCATAAACTCTCCATTGCCAAACCTAACACCAAGACACCAAGAGCTGATTGCCACGCCGTGTGGCCCTGTAAGTATCTGAACTTCACCAATCTTGTTAATTTAAATTAAAGTGGTTTGAGCCATTGGACCTTGTGTGTTTTAATATCTGGAGAGAAAGATGTAATTCTGACCTGAGGGTACGTTGAGGCACTGCCATCAACTCCTTTCTGGCTTAATTTTACAAACATGGCATGCAGCAGCTGAGGGCACCTCCCTTAACCAACTTCAGCATGCAGCAGCTGAGGGCACCTCCCTTAACCAACTTCAGAAAGCAAATTACTAGATGGAACTTAACTAGGAAATCTGAGGATTGGGGGCTAAACAAGGGAGCTGAAGTCCAACTTGGAGAATTTTTTTTTTACATTACCTCCACTTTTTATCGTTCCAGATCAAACGATGGTCCGAATTATCATCCCCTGTCAAGATCTACTTCTGTGTCACCATCCTTTCGTTGTTGAGCGTCATTGGATTAACTATAGAGACCCTCATCCAGCAGAAAAACGAAGATTTAACTGTGTCTGTCATCCAGATCATTGGCCTTGGTAATCAAACCATTGTCCTGACTGGCAAACCTTATAAACTAGAAAAATGGGAAAGGAGGAGTTCTGATGGCTCAAAAGAGGTCTTTTTTTAATATAAATTATATATTTTTGACAGACATCTAGGCCGATCTAATTCTTGCATAAAAGGCAAGAAAGGAATTGACTCTTTCAAAAAAAATAAAGTATAATTTAATCTGCTTTATATTTGGCTATAGTTGTGTAGACCCCAATTTGCTAGATCTGTTCATTCTACTTTTGGTACAAGGTCCAGGTTTTAATGCGGTCAATTCCTAGAGCAGTGTAATATTCACTGCAGGCAGTAGGTGGTATCGCTGTCCTAACTTTTATAGGAATCCTCTCAAACGTCTCTGCCACTTGAATCCTGCCCTCAGCAAGCGTTTCCACCTTGTATTTTGGCATTTTATGATAGATCCAAAGACAGAGACAGATCTTTGAATGGCCGGGAACAGTTTTCAAGAAAAACCCAAAATTTGGGCCTGGTGTCCCTCCAGAATCTTATCTTTGGCCATAGAAAGTAAATATGTCTTTACTGTTTAGTTAATTTAATATATTTAATAAGTTTATACATCATAAGGGTTGGGTTTATCCATAGCACTGAAGTAAATCAACCCCATCATGGTTCAATATCTGAATCCATCCTGCTTGGTCTAATTCAAACCATAGTTAAAACATAGTTACCCAGCCACTCACCAAGGCACAGGAAACTGGCCACTGTTAGCTAATGTTATCATTAATTTTCCTTTGTAGCTTTGCTTTTCGCCACTTGGGGGGGTGGGGGGCGTTACTGCTAGTTGCTTTGGTCCTTGAGAAAGGCAAGCGGTGAATCTAAAGAGCGTCTTCAAATTAATGTTCCAGATTGGATGGATCTACCCACCCAAGAGAGCAGGTGCTCCCTTTTGCTTTATCCGTTTCAAAGGAAGCAAGGTTCCGGCCCTCATTGAAAACAGGGAGGGCAGATCCAAACCCAGAACCCATCTCAGGGTTCTGCTTTCCTTGGGAAATCTCTTCCACCCCTCTTCGCTGGCTACTTGATAACCCGTCCCCTCTTTTGCGGCAGTCTTCGGCATCTATTACATCAGCCGGGGAATCCTGCAGGAGAATCGGCAGGAGCTGCTCGTCTTTGTCCTCTCTATCGCCTTGGTCATGCTCCGCTCCGTGATCAACTTCACCGTCCTGCCCGCCAAGCAGAAGCCGGAGTTGCTGGTGAGCATCTGGCTGGAGAGCTTCTTCCAGGGCCAGAGATGGCGAGGAGGGAACGATCAGGGCCCTCCGGTGGGTGAAGTGGGGGGGATCCCCTTTCTAGTCCCCTTCGCTCCCCTCTCCCACCAGGCTCGCTTCGTCCTGATCCTTCTGGTGGGGGCCTTTGACGTCTGCTGCGCCGTGATCTTGATCCAGAGTGAGAGCCGGATGGCCTTCCGAGTGGGCGGCGCCTTGGAGAGCCTCCAAACCCAGTACTTCATGCTGAACCTCTGCTTTTCCATGCTGACCTTTGACCTCCAGGCTCAGGTAACTCACCGGCACCAAACCACGTTTGAGTCCTCGGCCTGTCCGTCACGGATGTCCCCCCATTCTGCCACCAAAGACAAACAAAACGCTCCTCCTCGCTGGTTGTTCTATTCCAGTGGCGGCTAACCCTTTTTGGGGGCTCCTGTGCCAAAAATTGTGTGCGTGCTTGCATGCTCACACTCACGTGCCAGCACCCAGAAGGCAATGCGCCTCCCCCACGCCCCCAACGCATGCGTGCATTAATACCCACCCCATCCCCTTACCTGCACTGCGCCTTACAGCTGATTTTGGGCCAGCTATCGGCCTTTCAAAGGCTTCGGGAAGGCTTCTGCAGGCTGAAAACTAGCCCCGTTTCGTCACTTCCACTATTTCCGGAAAAACAGGAAGTGATGAAACGGGCCTAGTTTTCGGCCTGCAGAAGCCTTCCTGAAGCCTTTGGGAAGCTGAAAAAGGCCTCAAACCAGCCGAAAATCAGCTGTGAGGTGCGCACATGCCCAGTGAGATAAATTTGCCTGCAGCTTGCGTGCTGGCACAAATGGTTTTGCGTGCCATCGGTGGCACACGTGCCATAGGTTCGCCATCACGGTCCTATCCTATTTCCCAGCTCTGTTTGTCTGTCCTGTTGCTGACCACAACCCGGGAGATTTCCAATCTGCACAGCGTGTTCCTGGCTGCTGGGATTTGCTGGGCTGTTCTGAAGGTAGCTTGCGGCATCACCGCAGTGAGTATTTTCAATCATGCTTACCAGGTGGGCGGGAGAAAAAAAAAGGAATTTTCTTTCGGTTGCTTTCCTATCGTGTAGAATTTGGGGGCTTGTCCAGCTCTGCCAATGGCTGTTTTTAACTCCCTACGTTAATTCTCTCCATCTACAGGATTTGTGGAGAACTGTATAGCTCAGGGGCCCTCAAACTTGGCAACTTTAAGACTTGTGGACTTCAGCTCCCAGAATTCCTCAGCCAGCACAGCTGGCTGAGGAATTCTGGGAGTTGAAGTCCACAAGTCTTAAAGTTGCCAAGTTTGGAGACCTCTGGTATTAGCTCTTCTTTCTTCCAAAGATGTCATCTGCTGCTGTATTTTGAGTTTCCCCCCCACACCCAGGTAAAACTGATGTGATAGGTTTCTTTTGCAACTGTGAGCCTTCAGTCACTTTGTGCCTTTTGTTGGTTTTTTTTTTTTCAGATCTTAAAAGAGTTAAAACCTCTCGCCTGGATTTTTGTGATTCAGAATTTACCCGAAGTGGCTTATCTGGCATACCTTCTGTACGCGGTAAGTCTTGCCAAACAGTTTGCTGATCTCAGGAGGATAAGGGGGAATTTCTTGCTCGTTCAAAGGCAACCCTGGGAAAGAAGGAAGTTGAAAGGATGGCAGCAACTTGTACCCTGAAATTCCTGAAATGGAATTGTGGAGCCCGAAGAAACAAGAAAATGCAAATTCCCAGAGCGTATCACTTCTTTTAAAAGTACCCAGCATGATAAAAGCATGATACGTGTCACGTAAGGCTGGTAAACCGTCGTGGAGGAAACAACAACAAAAAAAGCAGTTGTCC